CATGATTATGCATGTGTCATGTCAGTCTTATGCACACCCCTTCAAGTAAAGTGTTACCCGTTCTAGCAAACAAAAGTTCTGAAGGAAAGTTTAAATAATGCATTTTATTTTCAGTATGAATTACTCATAAACAGGTTAACATACACTGCCTATTCAAAAGTTTGGCATCAGTACGATTTTTAACGTTTTTTAATGGAGTCTCTTATGCTCATCAAGGCTGTATTTATTTGATCAAAAATACAGAAAGAAAACAGTAATATTGTGAAATATTATTGCAATTTATAATATTGGTTTCCTATTTTAATATACTTTAAAATATAATTTATTTCTGACTCAGCACTGAATTTTCAGCATCATGACTCCAGTCTTCAGTGTCACATGATCCTTCAGAAATCAGTATAATATGCTGATTTATTATCAGTGTTGCTTAATATGTTTTGGAACTGAACTTTTGAAGGGCAGTGTACAAACAATATATTGGGGTATTTTTAAAAACACTGGATTATAAGTAATCAATGTGTGACAATATTGAAATCTAGTTTTTTAATGGTGTTAACTGCTTTCACATTATAAAACTGAAGTCCCCATGTCCTCCCATCCAGTAGAGGGCGCTGCTCTTATGTCTCTGGGTTGCAGACAGATGGACGGAGTCGTCCAAACTTCACATGAAAGTCATTTTCGGCCCTCACCAGTGCTTCTTCATCGATATAGACTGCCGCTCTTCTGGCAGTGAGGAAGTACTGCACTTTCCTGGGTCTCCAGCCTAACACATACATCAGGAGTCCACACACGGCCGCAGTGGAACGACCCACTCCTGCGTTACAGTGAACATACACTGTGTGACCGTTCTCCAGCAGTCCATAGAGCAAGAACACGGCCTGCGGCAGCATCTTTGTGCGACCTGCAGAGGGCAAAATTACAGTACATATATCCAACAATAGAGGCTCTTTTTTAGTGTTAGTAGTCTACACATTAAAACAAATCAATGCCTGACCTTCTGTGCTCATGTCTGGAGTGGGGATCCAGATGTACGAAAGGCCACAGTCTTTGTACAGGTGTGTCATGGTCTCTGGGCTCATGGGTTGACTGAGGTCACGCCGGCAGCCATGTGAGTTGTTTACGACGTCCCATTCTGTCTGAAAGTTCATCACTGCTGTAACACCCAGTTCCTGTTTCAGTTTTAGGGTTACATGTTCGACCCGTCGAGGGCAGCTGCCCAACCAGACACGTGGCAGCACCCTAAGGAGAAGAGAGAGAGAGGAAACTTAGCAAAGCAGTGACGGCCCATCAGAGGAGGAAAATGTATTGAATATAACAACTGAAGAGGTCAAATGTGCAAAAGCAAAAGTATTTTTATTAGTCAAACACTATTTTGGTAACACTTTACTTAAAGCCTTTATGTATAGTGCATTAGTAGTTATTATTAATATTATAAAAATTATTATTATAAAAGTGGCATAAATTATGCCTTGTAATGCACCTTTTAATGCATTGTACAATCTCATAAATAATTGTAACCACGGTTAATACATTATAACACTTATCAATTCATTGTTACACTATGCATTTTAAATTTGGTTATAACTATTTACGACAAGATATAATGTATTACAACGCACATTATGAAAAATTGTAATGCATTATACCCTTTAATAACCCTTTATAATGCATTATACATAAAGGCTTTAAGTAAAGTGTTACCATTATTTTTTATTGCATGGTAGACCAAAGATCATCCATGTATAGGAGTGTACTGAGCAGCAAAAAAAAACATAACAATTAAACCGACTACAATTTTTTATTGGTTTGATCAATATTGGACTCTTCCCTGGAAAATTCCCTCGTGTGCCCCCTGTGTAACATACGATCACCCGTGCTTAATAGTTATATCATGAGATCCCAGAGCAAGGAGGGGAAATAGATGTGGCAGTTTGATAGGGGAGATCATAAAACATATAGTGTATTTAAAAAAAAAATGTTAACAGCTGCACTGACAGTGTTACTGCATAGTGATTTACTTTTTAGTGCCTTTTGCCATTGAAACAAACCCCTGACCCTTCGTATTCATCTTAGGACTGCGAACTGAAGGGGTAGATTTCCAGTCCCCTCCGCTTCTATTATATTACGTAACCATAGTTTTCTTAAAAAACAATGTATCTATTCTAGTTTTTATGTTACAAGCAATTTCTGTAATTAGTATCTGAGAGGTGACTGAGAGTCTGACCCATGACAGGAACACAGTAGCAGTGTTTACTCATTTAGCCCGACTTTCAGAGAATAAATACGTATTTGTTTTGGAATAACTAATCTGAATCATTATATAATCAAATGTTATATTTTATGGAAAAAGTGTTATAAATTGGAACTTTTATCTATTCTGTGTGTCTGAGACATGTTAAAACCAACTGTGCCTTTAGGGCCAAGAAGGTCACTAACGCACCACATGTATTCAGCAACTCTTATGCACACTCTAAAAAATGCTGGGTTAAATACAACCCAGTGCTGGGGAAAATAGGGACAAACCCAGCAATTGGGTTGTTTTGCCCCAGCGGTTGGGTTCAAAACAACCCAATTACTGGGTTTGTCCCTATTTAACCCAGCACTGGGTTGTATTTAACCCAGCATTTTTTAGAGTACATGCTTAACTTTTATGATTCTTTTTAGTTGCTATATATGTTAACCTATGACAGTGACTCATGTATAGAAGTTTGTCTCAGTGTACTGTGTGAATGTATTGTTCTGTTCCAGTGATGTTCTGCAGCTCAACCTTGAAGGGAAAAGATATTGCCTACACTCTAAAAAAATGCTGGGTTAAATACAACCCAGTGCTGGGTAAAATGTATTTGTATTTAACCCAGCATTTTTTAGAGTGTATGTTTTATCAAATAGTGTATTTGCAAATTGGTAGCATATTGGTCTCTCTATGGGCTTTAACTGTAATTCCCCTACAAAATTCATCCTGCACTGTTTGTCATATCATTTCAACGTGGGAAGTTGACTTGGGCAGAGCAATGGTTACAATGCTGTAGCAACAGCAAATAAACATTACTTAACTGCATAGAAAGGAAAGGAAAGGAAAGGAAAGGAAAGGAAAGGAAAGGAAAGGAAAGGAAAGGAAAGGAAAGGAAAGGAAAGGAAAGGAGAAGAGAAGAGAGGAGATTGTTTTAAATGTACATTTTCAGTGTCTATCGTTTCTGAGACAGCCATGTCAGCAGGGGTCTCTCCCTCTCTTTTGTATGTGAGCTCCAGACTCAAATAATGGAAATGCTAATGAGTGTTTAGTGGTGTGAGGAGACAGACTGACAGCCAGGGGAATGAAGGCAGGAAGGTCAGAGACATCAGGTGAGAGATGTATTTTTACCTAAGAAACCCACATGCCTCTTTGAGGGAAAAGAATAAATGAGATGATTGAAGGGAAAGTGAATTTGCTGCAGGTTAATGGTCTGAAGCATTGAATGTGATCTATCCTCTGCCCAAAATCTTCTGCAGGGCAGGACACTTGGTTTGATGTCGAAGGCAATGACATGTATATATTTTTCCTCTGTGGCCTAATGCTTTTTGGTGCTGCTGTACACGATGTGAGAGGTGTGTGCAATGCATTCCTTCTCTGTAAATGACTTGTTTGTGTGTGTGTATTTGAGAAGTGGGCACGTGTAGTGCATTTTAATTGAGCAAAGGTGACAAGTACAGGTTGTGTTTAATTAGTGGTCAAAGACCTAACAAGGTCTACTTGATTCTGGAGAAAAAAAAAGGTCCTTGTATTTTTCCTTGGGACTGGCATTCAACTGCCAGAGTTTATTTTACACTCTCCATTTGGTGTGAGTTAGACTTTAATACACACAGACACTGTTTTCTGAGTTTTATGGTTGTTTTTTTTTGAGTCAATGACAGACTTCTGTGGGAGTGAACAGTAGGAACATTGATTCATACTCTTTTGTAAATATAGAAAAATCTGACACAAGAAAGATCAGCTTTGTAGTTCATTTTTCTGTTAAGTTCTCAGTCCTGTCATTGAAGCTTTTGTAATTCCACAGTCCGTGACCGAGCCCTTTCTTCAAGCCTTGGTGAGAAAGACATGCACATAATTATATTACGAGCACTTCAAATTTTATGTATATTAAATCATTAAAAAAACTGTACTTGCAGATAATATAATATTAATTAAAAGACACTTAAAATGAAATGCTTTTAAGACTGTTTCTTAACTTTTAAAAAATGCACTTTGTAATGTCAATTAAAAGTATTTAAAGTGAATTTTAAATCTTTACGTTTTAATAATCTTTTGTCATTCTTTTAAGAAGTTCACTTATTTTGATGTGTTGACTAACATACTATAGCACATGTAAAGGATTATAATTTTAACTGCAGTGTGTTATTTGATATTACACTTAAAGTTAACATATTCTATACCCCGGTTTCACAGACAAGGCTTAAGCTAGTCCCAGACTAAAATACATGTTTGAGCTGTCTCAACTGAAAATATCTTGCTCTGACATATACAATATATAATATTAAATATATGACATACTATACAGGTTTTAACAGCAATTACAGGTGCATCTCAATAAATTAGAATGTCGTAGAAAAGTTCATTTATTTCAGTAATTCAACTCAAATTGTGAAACTCGTGTATTAAATAAATTCAATGCACACAGACTGAAGTTTAAGTCTTTGGTTCTTTTAATTGTGATGATTTTGGCTCACATTTAACAAAAACCCACCAATTCACTATCTCAACAAATTAGAATACTTCACAAGACCAATAAAAAAAACATTTTTAGTGAATTGTTGGCCTTCTGGAAAGTATGTTCATTTACTGTAAATGTACTAAATACCTGGTAGGGGCTCCTTTTGCTTTAATTACTGCCTCAATTCGGTGTGGCATGGAGGTGATCAGTTTGTGGCACTGCTGAGGTAGTATGGAAGCCCAGGTTTCTTTGACAGTGGCCTTCAGCTCTTGTTGGTCTCATTTTTTGGTCTCTTGTTTCTCATTTTCCTCTTGACAATACCCAATAGATTCTCTATGGGGTTCAGGTCTGGTGAGTTTGCTGGCCAGTCAAGCACACCAACACCATGGTCATTTAACCAACTTTTGGTGCTTTTGGCAGTGTGGGCAGGTGCCAAATCCTGCTGGAAAATTAAATCAGCATCTTCAAAAAGCTGGTCAGCAGAAGGAAGCATGAAGTGCTCCAAAATTTCTTGGTAAACGGGTGCAGTGACGTTGGTTTTCAAAAAACACAATGGACGAACACCAGCAGATGACATTGCACCCCAAATCATCACATACTGTGGAAACTTAACACTGGACTTCAAGCAACTTGGGCTATGAGCTTTTCCACCCTTCCTCCAGACTCTAGGACCTTGGTTTCTAAATGAAATACAAAACTTTCTCTCATCTGAAAAGAGGACTTTGGACCATTGGGCAACAGTCCAGTTCTTCTTCTCCTTAGCCTAGGTAAGACGCCTCTGACGTTGTCTGTGGTTCAGGAGTGGCTTAACAAGAGGAATACGACAACTGTAGCCAAATTCCTTGACATGTCTGTGTGTGGTGGCTCTTGATGCCTTGACCCCAGCCTCAGTCCATTCCTTGTGAAGTTCACTCAAATTCTTGAATCGATTTTGCTTGACAATCCTCATAAGGCTGCGGTTCTCTCGATCTGTTGTGCATCTTTTTCTTCCACACTTTTTCCTTCCATTCAACTTTCTGTTAACATGCTTGGATACAGCACTCTGTGAACAGCCAGCTTCTTTGGCAATGAATGTTTGTGGCTTACCCTCCTTGTGAAGGGTGTCAATGATTGTCTTCTGGACAACTGTCAGATCAGCAGTCTTCCCCATGATTGTGTAGCCTAGTGAACCAAACTGAGAGAGCATTTTGAAGGCTCAGGAAACCTTTGCAGGTGTTTTGAGTTGATTAGCTGATTGGCATGTCACCATATTCTAATTTGTTGAGATAGTGATAGTGATTGGTGGTTTTTGTTAAATGTGAGCCAAAATTATCAATTAAAAGAACCAAAGACTTAAACTACGTCAGTCTGTGTGCATTGAATTTATTTAATACACGAGTTTCACAATTTGAGTTGAATTACTGAAATAAATGAACTTTTCCACGACATATAATTTATTGAGATGCACCTGTATATAATAATGTATTTAAGTTTACATATTAATAACATATTACATGTAAAGATGTAAGTGGATCAAAAACCACTCACTTCAGCTAATAGATTTTAATATAA